TTCTTCTTTTAAAAACTTGTTGTAAATTCCACCATAATTTTATCCAGAAAGCTTTAATAACCTTACAAGTCCACCACATGTGAAAAAAAGTTGCATCTTGTTGTCCACACCTCCAGCACTTGGATTCATAATTCTCATAAATGCGAGACATAGTTGCAGGATCCATGTGCCATCTATAAAACATCTTGTAAAAATTCTCGCGTAAATTTTGTGCCTGCGTAAATTTCACATTTCTCACCCATATCAACTCCCAGGTATCCATAGATATTATTTCTCCTATATTTTGAGCCCATTTAATCATACAATCTTTAACTAACTCAGTTTCTGAATCCAATTCTAGTAGAACATTATATATCCTTCTAATATGGGGGTCTTCTACCCCCTTTACACAGAAGGTTGGGGGTGGACAGCTGAATTTCAGAGGGGGTGTGTGTTTCGTAGGGCAGGGTCTACCAGGAAAAGCATGCATAGCTCTTACCAGATGACAATATTTAGAGGAAAGGACTGGCTGGGGAATTCTGGAAGTTGAAGTCCACCAGCCTTAAAGCAGCCAAGGTCGGACACCCCTGCCGCTTTAGAAGATGGTGTGTATTTGCCATTGAATGTTGTTTAATGTCCTTTTTCTTTCCCCCAACCCTCCAGGAACCCCCCTGCGGCTCTCTCAGCTTTGTCGTCTCAGTCTCCGTCACGCTCTCGGCCAAAAAGCCCTGGAAAAGATCCCCCACCTCCACATCCCTACAAAATTAGTTGAATTCCTCTCCTACAGCCAGTGAGCTGCCCACGGCCCCCGTCTAAGGACCCCCCCCCAATCATCACCCTGCAAAGTTCGGCTTGTGCTCTTCCGAAGCCACCCTCTTTCGGAACAACGTGCGACTTTTTTCTCGAACGACTGTAAATAGAAATGTTAAAACCGTGGCTGGAAGCGGATTACCTGGTGGTCTCCTTGCCGGCTCGGCGGTTGCTTTGAGTGTGTTGGTGAAAAGCTTTAGCACCCACTGGTATGTGTGTGGTTGATCACCTCTACTTTGGAGAGATGGAGCGATAACTTACCGAAGCCTGATGGGCTCGCCCTGTTTTGCGTCTTGGTCTAGATGTACTCCGCAGCCTTGTTAAGTGGATTTTGCCCCATTTTACGCCCACCCTTGCCACAATTGTTAAATGAATCGCTGCGGTGGTTAAGTTAGTGGCACCGTTATTCAGGGGATCTAGCTTCCCCATTGATTTTCCTGGTCAGAAGGTCGCAAACGGTGATCACGTGACCCCGGCCGGGGATACTGCGACCGTTGTAAAGATGAATCGGTTGACAAGCACGTGAATTTTGATCCCGTGACACTGGAGAGGCTACAACGGTCGCAAGTGTGAAAAACGGCATTTTTCAGTGCCGTTTGTAACTTTGAATCGTTGTTAGTCAAGGACTACCTGTATTAACACATGGGAGTTGTAATCCACCCATTTTAAAATATTCCCAAAATTGTTTTATTTGTAAAATGTATGCATTAGTTTGTGAAGTTTAATTATTTCCAAAATGTATATATGGGTAATATTTATTTGTAAAATGGGCTCATAGATTTTGCAAATGAATCCATCAATTTTGCCAATAAATAAATTTCACAAATACAGGCCTCTTACCAATGAATAAACCAATGTTGCTAATAAATAAAAATGCATTGTACAAAGAAATAAATATTACCATTAAACACATAACATCCAGACAAATCAAAGCCCACCAGCACCCATTACAGGTCGGCCCACGTGTGAACCCCCAGAAAAAAGGCAGAAGTCTAAGAAAGCGCAAAAGGCAAATTTTCGGGTGCCTGATTGGGATGCTCAAGGAAATCCCATGATGGTTTTCAGAGTTTGGGGTGACGGGGGGGGGGGCGTCAGGAAGCAACCCCTCCCTCCAGACAATTGTGATGCCATGAATTCAAGCACCGAGCTGCAACATTCTTTGTGTCAAGAAAGGGACGTGGGGACGGAACCCTCGCAGCGAAGGTTGCAAAGGACGGGAAAGCATCTGCAAGCATCCGGACTAGCACCTGCAAAGGACGGGAAAATATCTGCAAGCATCCGGAGTAGCACCTGAAGCTAGTCCGGAGAACTACAATTCCCGGCAGCCTTTGCGAGCAGCGCCTGCGGTGTCCCGGGATTCCTGACTGCCTTTCCTGCTGGGGTGTGTAGTCCACATTTATGGAGCCGGTGGCTCTTTGCTGGGCGACATCGGTGAGTGTGGGGAGGGGGCGTCCCTCTCCCCGCAGGAATCGCCTCCGGTCCCGGGACTCAGCCTTTTCATGCTGCTAGACCTGAGTGGGGCTCTCAATCTTCGGAAAGCCCAGCGCAACGATGCACTTGCTCTGTTACTGTGCAAATTTAAAGGGGGAAGGGGAGAAAAGGGTACAGACGCCTCCTCCGCTCTTGACCCGGTATTCAAGCTGCGTTTCCACAACCGGCCAGTCCTGGTTATTAATTAACCCTTTTGGAGGGCCGTGTCCCCAGAGAGATTGCGATCCATAGATCGCCAGCTGGGCTGGGTTTCTCCTCCTCCCCCGCCCGCAAAAGCAAACCCCCTCTCCCCACAAGCTATAGCTCCGGCTCCCGAGTTTAGCGTGTTGTGTGAACGCTTGGGGTGACGCGTGTCGGCCGTGGCCGCGCCGTTGTTTATCCCCTCCTGCCCTGGAAAGGGCCTCGCGGGTCGCGCGTTGCGCTTCTTGGAGAGCTGAGCCAGAAATGCGGCTTGCGAGCCAGGGAAGTCCCCGGCCGGCTTGGCAGGATCCGCGCCCGGGAATCTGCACCCTCGTCTTCTCCTTCCCAGGTCGATCCGGGTTGCAAAGAAAAAGAAAAAAGACGGCTGTAGGTTTCTTGGAGTCAACGGGGGGGACCCTGACCCGTTTTGGGGAGGGGGCGTGAGGGGTGATTTTGAGGGGTCTGGAGTCACGTGGGGGTTGCAAAGGCTCCCTGCGCAGCTCCCGGACAGAGAAGGGGACGCCGTGGTGGGAAGAGGGAAACGGAGGGTCTTTGCAAAGGTAAGAGACCCCCTGGGAATCTTGCCCAAAGCTCCCGGCAATGGGGGGGGGGAGAGAATTCACTTTATTAGAGACTAAGTCAGGGGCAGGCAAGCTGGGCTCTTTTAGGACTGGTGGACTTCAACTCCCAGAATTCCTCAGCCAGCATGGGGGACTTATCGCCCCCTCATGACTGGTGGACTTCAACTCCCAGAATTCCAGGGCCAGCCTGGCTCAGCTTGGAAACCTCTCCCTTTCCCCTCAGCGTGGCTGGCTCAGGAATTCTGGGAGTTGAAGTCCACCAGTCACAAAAGAGCTTTAAATCAATCAACCTTTGCCACGCCCCTCTTCCTCCAGCTACGACTCGCCAGTTAAGGCTTAGTCTTAGCCCGGGAGAGACGTGGTGAAGGTTGGCTCTGGGTTTCTAACAGAACGACAGAACTGTGGATTTTCCCAGGTTGTACCCTTCCTTTCCCTTCTCTTCCCTGCCTCAGCGCTGCTTTTCCAAACCGCCGAGGGTGAGAGCGCTTTTGCAGGCCTCGGCTGAAGCCTCTCGAGCTATTTATAGCTCCCAGGCAGAGGCAGAAGCGCTGCGGTCGCCATTTTGAGCGCCGCTTTGATTGTTTCTGAGGGGAGTGGGGGAACCTTCCTTCCTTCCAGCGACGGCCATTTAGACTCAAAATAGAGTCAATTTTGGCCAGAATTCATTCTGCAGTCTTCTTAGTCAGCAAATAGAAGCAGCTGCCGCATTTATTAACTCGGACATAAGGACGGAGCAGGAGGTCGCTTGCTAGCGGCCGCCATTTTGAGAGCCTGACAAACGCCCTCAGGCCATTCCAGAAGGCCAGAGTTAAGGAGCGATATTTCGAAGGTGCTGCTTCTCCAATCCTTGGCAGCTCACCCCACACCAAGGCTGTTACAATTAGAGACAACAACAACAACAACAGCAGCCTCCTTCAGGGCGCAATTTCCAAAGCCTTCAGGGTGCGGCTGAGTGCCCGTTTTAACTGCCACCATTTTCAGCGCCTCTTCCTACCACCAATTTCGCTGCTTATAAGTGTGCTGGCTACCCCATTAAGGTGGTCTTGCTGCCACTAGCAGGCTTGTAAGTGTGCTGGCTACCCCACTAAGGTGGTCTTGCTGCCACTAGCAGGCTTGTAAGTGTGCTGGCTACCCCACTAAGGTGGTCTTGCTGCCACTACCAGGCTTGTAAGTGTGCTGGCTATCCCATTAAGTTGGTTGGGCCGCCACCACTTCTAGCCACCATTTGGCTCCTGGCTACTGGGATCACCTCTGTTGCAAGCACGTTGAGATTGCCGTTTCTGTGATATCTCTGATTTTTGCAATGGCAGGTAAAACCACAGCAGCTCAGAGCTCTCAAGGTGTCTCCAGCAGTCCCTCCAGGCCGGGGAACGCCAGATCAGCCAAGCAGGAGGCTGCTGGGAAACTCAGAGCCAGAGCTATCGCTGGCAGAATGTCTCCCAAAGCTGCTGGGAAAGAAGCAAGCGGAAGGCAACAGGCATTGGGAAAACAATTCTCCAACGCTGCAGGGCAACAGAAGGAGGCAAAGGTTGGTCAGATGACTTCTGTTCCCATGGAAGCATCCTGTTTTGACCCTCAACAAGCTCCTTCGACCTCTGCTACTCCAAGTGCCTGCTCTCCAGAAGGGGAAACAGGTCAGTCCATTTCTCCCATGGCAGAACAGGTGGAGATGGTTGACCCTCAACAAGCTCCTTCGACCTCTGCTACTCCAAGTGCCAGGTCTCCAGAAGGAGAAACAGGTCAGTCCATTTCTCCCATGGCAGAACAGGTGGAGATGGTTGACCCTCAACAAGCTCCTTCGACCTCTGCTGCTCCAAGTGCCAGGTCTCCAGAAGGGGAAACAGGTCAGTCCATTTCTCCCATGGCAGAACAGATGGAGATGGTTCCCCCTTCCAGTGAGGGGCTTGGCCTTCAGATCCCTGCTCCTCCGGGTACAGCTGGATCTCTGGGCCCAGAGGCCACATTCACTCCTACAGCGGCAGGGCTTCGTCCTCCAGAGGCTCAGGAGACAGGACTATCAGAACAAATGCAGCTTCTGATTTCTCAGGCTGTTGCCCAAGCTGTAGCTTCGACCCTACACCAGAGAGCTCGACCTGAGTCGATAGCATCAGAGGTCCCATCTCACAGCAATGCATCGTACCTCTCCCAGGCGGAAGCAGCAGCATACCAGGGGCCAGTTTCCCCATTCAATTCCTCCAGGAGTAGAAGGTCGTTCACAGGGGACGACGAACAGAGAGAGCTGGGGCTGTCAGAAGATGAGGACTTACCTCCTGATCCCCCAACTTTCACAGGCCTGTTTAATCCGGCCCTCTTTAAATCCTTGCTTCACAAGGCCAGGAGCACTGCTCAACTTGGTCCTGAAGGTGGCCCTCAGGCTGAACCTTCCACCAGTCAGGGACCTACCAGTAAGATCTGTTCAGAGCCAACGTTTACCCAACAGTACATTCCCTGTCCTCCCCTTTTCCTCAATGAAGTCCAAAGACAATGGGGAACGCCAGCTAATTTTCCACCTCCGGGGGGGACTGATAAACAGTTATTTAATGTGGCTCCAGCACTGTCAGAGGTGCTAGAAGTCCCCACGGTAGATGAGCCCTTAGCAACAACATTTAATCCCAACTTCATTGTGACTGGGGATATAGCGGAGGTTCTGACGCCAGAGGATAAGAAAGCGGAGCATAATTTCCGCAAGAGCCACCAAGCCTCAGCATGGGCGGTAAAAGCAGCTATATCAACTTCCTTTTTTGCCAGAATTTCAGTCCTCTGGCTTCGCCAATTACAGGCTAAGGTATCACCAGAAGAGGTACGGATGCACCAAGATTTAAACAAATTAGTGGCTGCATCAGAATACATGGCTGACTCATCCTTGCAGGCGGCCAAATTTTCCTCCCAGGCATTAGCATCTAATGTTATCTCTCGCAGACTTCTGTGGCTCAGACAGTGGCGAGCGGATTTTAAGTCCAAGTGGCGGTTGGCCTCAGCCCCTTACAGGGGAGGCCAGTTATTTGGAGAGGCACTAAACCCTTATCTGACTGGGAAGGGTAAGCGTAAGGTCATGCCCAATCTTCAAAGGAGAGCAGACAGGAAAGCTACCCCTTATGCCCCCAAGCAGTTCTATCGCCCAACCAACACAGGGTCGGAATTCACCCATTACTCCCCTCCTCATTCTCCCAGCTCAACCGACACAGGGTCAGAATTCAGCCATTACTCCAGTCCTCATCCTCCCAGACCAGAACCTCAATTCGACAGATCTGGTAACAGGGGCAGAGACAGACAGCAATTTCAGGCCAAACGGCCCTTTCGAGGCGCCAAAGGTCGTCCTTTCAGAAGGTTCTAGTGACACCAGAGGTGCCTCTCCCATAGGGGGCAGATTGGCTCTCTTTGTACACAAATGGGAGAACACCACTAAAGACCTCTGGATCCTCAACACCATCAGATTCGGCCTGACTCTAGAGTTCACCTCCACCCCCCTGAAGCTTTTCATCTCTTGCCCATCATCCAAAAATCCGGTCAAAAGAAGCCTCATGAAAGAGGCCATTCGACATCTCCTTGAGATCCAAGTCATAGAACCGGTACCGGTAGGGCAGAAGGGACGGGTTTTTTATTCCATTCTGTTCATCGTTCCGAAGGGCTCGGGAGGGTGGAGGGCAATCCTGGATTTAAAGAAATTAAATATCCATTTGGCACACAAGTTCAAGATGCAAACACTCCAATCCATATTAGCAGGCATCAGAAGGGGGGACTTCCTGACGTCCATCGACCCGACAAAAGCCGACGTAGACATTCCCATCCTTCCCAGACACCAGAAATTCCTCATGTTCTGCTACGCAGGCCACCATTTTGAGCACAGAGCTCTACCATTCGGCCTCTCATCGGCCCCCAGAAAAGCCAGATAGTTTCCTCCACTCGCCACCTTCATCTGGGCACGGTGATAGATACCAGGAAGTGCGAGGTTTACCTGTCTTAAGTTACGTCGGGACAGTATCCGATCTCTCCTCCATGGAGAATACCCCAAGATGGAATCTCCCTCAGCCAGTGGGTTCTACAACACCCAGAGCCTCATTGCCTGCAGCTAACCGCCGGGCATTTGAAAGGAGACTCCTAACAAAAGAGACCTACTCATCAGATGTGATTACCATGATTCAGGCTTCAAGAAGGCCTGCAACTAATAGAATCTATGATTCCACATGGAAGAATTTCTTTAACTGGTGTGGAAGACAACAATTAGATCCAACTACAATTCCTATTCCAAGAATTTTGGATTATTTACCGGAGGGACTTAAGAAGGGTTTTGCACCCAACACAATCCGCAGACAAGTTTCTGCCCTGTCCACAGTGCTCACATATGGCAACTCAGAGCCCTTGGCTCAACATCCCATGATACGTTCCTCTGTCAGGGGAGCAATCAACAGCAAACTGCCCGTGGTTCACAGATATCCCTCTTGGGACCTGTGCAAGTTCGTACAGTCTCTCACTTCACCTCCATTTGAGCCAGTCAGAACCTCCACCCTACGATTCTGGACACTCAAGGCCCCCTTCCTAGTAGCCATTACATCGGCTGGGCGCATCTCGGAATTGGCAGCACTCTCCATTAGAGATGACTTATGTATTTTTCATACTGACAGGGTGGTCCTACACTTAGACCCTTCCTTCGTCCCCAAAATCAACTCATCGTTTCACAGGGCGCAGGAGCTTGTGCTGCCAGATTGTCATGAGCCGTCCCACGATTAGGAACCTAAATGGCACACCTTGAACTTTCGCAGAGCCTTGCGTCGCTATATTAAGCGAACTGCCCTTTTCGCCAATAACTGAAGCCATCTTCGTTTCATTCCACCCCTCTTCAAGGGGTCAGAAGGTGACCGCCTCTACTCTCGGCAGATGGATTACGGCTTGCATCGCAGAGGCATCCCAGACGCACTCCTTGCCAGTTCCAACACGAATCACCGCACACTCCGCAGTGCGGCAACTTCGGCAGCGACGTTGACACAGGCGTCCATCAAAGAGATCTGCAAGGCAGCGACGTGCTCGTCGCCTTCCCCATTTGTGAGGCATTATAAGTTAGATACGTTCGCCTCTGCAGACGCTTCATTTGGCAGGAGACTCTTCCAAAGGGTAGTAACAGATAGTGGGATACAGGCCCAGACCTCTTCCCGCCCGTGGGAGCAGCGAGGCTTTGTTATGTCCCATCTGTGGATCCTCCATTCGTCACGCTGGAGAAGGGCCGTTGCCTTACCTGAACGCCTTTTCTCAGCATGACGATGGAGAATCCTTTCCCCCCCCCCCAGGTCCATCCAGTCCTGTGTCGGGAGGTTGAGCCACCACCAGCTTGACAATCATCAACTGCTGTGCCTTCATATTGACTGGGGATTCCTAGCCAGAGGAAGAGAGGCATGGCAAAGGTTGCTTGACGTAGTCTCTAGCGCAGAAAGGCAAGATCAACCCATCCGTGGATTCTCCATCGTCATGATGAGAAAAGGTGTTCAGGTAAGACGACGCCCCTTCTGATCATTGTTGCAAATGAGGTGTATTCACGTAGAGCAGTCAGCCCTGGTGAGGTTCCCTAGTTGGGTCATGAAATGTCTGCAAGAAATAACAAAGATTAGAGAGCACCAAGGACTCCTCCTCTTCCTCCTTTTCTTCCTCTTCCTTCTCTCCACAAACCCCACTCCCTCCCAGCACTGATGACGTTGGGTCATGCAACGTCTGCAAGAAAACCACCCAGCTCAGAGAGCACCAAGGACCCCACAATAATCTTCCTTCTCCCCTCCCCATGACTAACAGCATCCCTGTGGTCACGTGATCCCCTTTTACTAACTAGCATTCAACAACTAAAGTCAATGGGGGAAGCCATATTTGCTTAACGACTGCCTGAATCCCAGGTAGGTTCACCAAGAGAGGCAACAGGCTGAGGGTTTGATCCCTTTCTACCACAGGTGGATGCCCGGAACATCGATGGGAGTACCCCGTTCTGCGATGCCTGCGCCTCGGGGAGCATTGACTGTGAAAGTCTTCCTGTCCCACAGGGCCAAGGTCAACCCGCCCTTGTATATAGCGTCGCCTCTCCACGAAGCCTGCTTAAACGGTAAAGTGGCTTCTGCAGGGTTGACGGAGATCCCATTGCCAGCCCTGGGAGACTGTGGGGTGGGGGTTTCTGCTCGCCCAGAATCCAGGAGAAGAGTTGTCGAGCATTCCGGATTCCATTCGGATCGCGGTTCCCTGCCTGAACCCTGCATTTGTCTTCCTGCGCCTCAAGGTCTGGCCCAATGAAATTTAGGAGTTAGGGATCTGTGGATTTGTTTATTTACGATGCAAGACTGAGTCACAAAAATTTAAAATACAGCACACAGTTAATACATACTTATGTGGCTATGTCTAGATCTCTCTGTCTCTCTCTCTCTCTCCCTTTCAATCTTGTCTATTTATCCATCCCTCTTTCCATCCACTCCATCCATTCTGTCTATCTGTCTTTGTCTATTTACCTACCTATCTGTCCATACATACATACATCTGTGTATTCATCCATTGTCTATCTCTCTCTCTGTCATCTATTGATCTACCTAGTCTGTCTGCCTGAATGTCTGCCTATCCCCTGCCTGCCCATCCATCCATCCATCCATCCATATCTATCTATCTATCTATCTATCTATCTATCTATCTATCTATCTATCTATCTATCTATCTATCTATCTATCTATCATCTATCTATCTATCTATCTATCTATCTATCTATCTATCTATCATCTATCTATCTATCTATCAACTCTAAACAGCTAGTCCTCCCTTAATGACTACAATTGGGCCCAGAATTTTGATCGTAAGCCATTGCAGTGGTTAAGCGGGTCACGCCACATGACCTGACTTGATTTTTAGGACTGTTTCTAGGATGGTTGTAAAATGACTCACCACAGTCACTAAGTGGATCATGTTCTTGTGAACCACAGAGTTGGTTGTTAAGCGAATCCATTCTCCTGAATGCTGGAAACCCCGTAAAAACTTTTGGAAACAGGCAAGAAACATTGCAGTCATGTGACCACAGGGCACTGCAGCCGGTTGTAAATGCTGTCATTGCATTGTGTGTGTGTGTGTGTGTGTGTAGATGTAACTGAGGATGGGCCTTAAGTAAATTTTCTTTTAGGTGCTCATAATTTCAAACCGTCATTAAGTGAGGACTACATTAACAATCTATTGAAGGCACCAACCCTTTTCTATAAGCTAAGGCTACAAAAAAAAAAACACCTGGGCATCAAACCTATACTAAGAACACAGGTGTTCCTCAACTTACGACAGATTGTTTAGCGACCGCTCAAAGTCAACGGCACTGAAACAAATGACTTACGACTATTTTTCACACTTACGACTGGCTTCCCCATTGACTCAGACGGTCTCAAGAGGGGATCACACCACCCTGGGACGTTACCACCGTTGTAAATATGAACCAGTTGCGAAGCATCCGAATTTTGATCGTGTAACTATGGGGAGACTGCCGTAGTCGTGTGAAAAAAAATCATCATCAATCCCTTTTTTCCGGCACCATTGTAGCTTTAGACGATCGCTCAATGAACTGTTATAAGTCAAGGACTATTCGTCATCTCGTTGAGAGTTTTAGGCAGTTAAACCACACCAACCCCAGGAATCCGTCCTTAACGTGAACCGGACGGGACGGACTTCCGGGAAGTTGGCGTGAAAACAGCTTTAGCCATCTCTCTTTGGAATGAGCGGAGGATTAATGAATATTCTTCCTTGATCTGACTCTTTAAGGCAGCGCAGAGTGCGTCTGTCTTCTGATTGAGGTCAGCGAGGACTTAGATGTCCACGAGAACACCTGGATTGCGTGAAGTTATTGCTGAACGCAGGTGCGCTGCGAGGTCCCCAAGGAATGAGGATAGAAGTAGTAGTAGTAGTAGTAGTAGTAGTAGTAGTAGTAGTAGTGATAATAATAATAATAGTAATGGTAATAATAATAATAAAGTTGGAAGGGACCTTGGAGGTCATCTACTCCAACCCCCTGATCAGGCAGGAAACCCTATACCATTTCATACAAATAGTTGTCCAGTCTCTTAAAAACTTCCAGTGTTGGAGCATTCACCGCTTCTGGAGGCAGGTGGTTCCACTGGTTAATTGTTCTAACTGTCAGGAAGTTTCTCCTTAGTTCTAGGTTGCTTCTCTCCTTGATTAGTTTCCATCCGATGCTTCTTGTCCTGTCTTCGGGCGCTTTGTAGAATAGCTTGACTCCCTCTTCTTTGGGGCAGCCCCTTAAATATTGGAAGACTCCCCCCTCGTCCTTCTCTTCGTTAAACTAGACATACCCAATTCCAGCAACCATTCCTTATATGTTTTAGCCTCCAGAAGTGCTGGATTAATTCCAGGCAACCCAACCTGATTCAGGAACCGCCAACCTGTTCTTCCAAGGTTTATCCTGCCTTACAGGATATGGATTGTTTATGAAGATTGAATGTAGTTAAGATATGCATAAGCTAAAAAATTATTGATAAATGTAATAATGATGTTTTTATTGAGTTGATGTAATTAGTTACACACGTAACAACTGTGCCAAAAAGGTCGTAAAATGGGACGCAACTCACTTAAACAACTTTCGTTTACCAGCAGAAATTTAGTCTTCCATTATGGCCGTAATTTGAGGACTACCTTTGTGTGGCCGCTAAAAATCTCCACTGAATTGATGATAATCTCTGACTTTCTCAATTTCCATCCCGGCCTGCAGGAGCCAACGTCAACGCAGCTAAACTTCACGAGACGGCCCTTCACCATGCAGCCAAAGTTCGAAACGATGACTTGGCGGAGATGCTTATCGAATTCGGAGGAAACGTTTACGCCCGGGACAACCGAGGGAAAAAACCCTCTGATTACAGTCAATGCAACAGCTCAACTGCCAAGTGTTTTGCATATTACGAAAGTGAGTCAAATTGGCCAGGAAAATGTCTTGTCTTGTCTTCTACCTGTCTCATACAGGTGCGCGAGAGCGAAGGTTCATTTTCTGAGCTTCTCCGAACGTTTCATGATAAGGCTAGGTAACATTCTTCAGCGGAGTTTTGATGCTGTTAGTTGTCGTTCTGTGATAAGGGCTCCAGGTATGGGTGTGTCCAGTGAGGGTCTTGTGATGGGTCAGGTGTGAGTCATCAGTGATGTTGTGATTCTTCGCCAGCCGGTGGATCCTGTAGCTGAGTCTGAGTCTGAGGAGGAGGGGCCTGGAGTGACATCAGAGTCAGAGGAAGGCTCTGAGGAACTCCAAGGCTTACAGTCGGATGAGGAGCCTGGCCCCTCTACTCGTGCTCAGGCTGAGACACAGCTATGCTGGAAGCCTGAGTTGGACAGTGCTGAAGAACAGCTGGGACAAATCCTGGATGCACGAAAGCACAGACAAGAGAAGCAAGTAGGACAGAGGAATGCAATGGGGCGGCTCCAAAGGCAAAGGAGAAGGCATTAGGAAGCCACGCCTTGGCTGCATAATAAAAAGGGAAGCTTTGGGAGGTGCTGGTGGCCGAAGAGAACCATTTGTGTTGAGGATCGTGTTTCTGTGAAGTGTGTTTGTTTGCCTTGGGACACTGACTCAGGTCTGTGAATAATAAAAGGGGTTTGATGTTTTTTCTGCGGCCCCTGCCTGCTTGATTGGAAGAGGGGTTTCTCCTGGTGAGTATAACAAGGACTCACGTGGGCTGGGACAGAACAAGTGAGAGGCTGGTGATGGGTCTCGTGATGAAGAGGTTACATCAGGTCAGGATCCTTGGGAGGTGAACTGCCGGTAGTGAGGGATTGCGCGGGATGGTTGAGGGTCAGTGCCGTCCCTGGTTGGCTGTGCGGTTGATTTGGATTCTGAGGGATGCGAAGGCTGGTTGTAGGTCAATGTGTCTGTGGATGGAATATAGAGAATAGAACAGAATAGAGAATAGAATAGAATTACAGAAGAGAAGAGAATAGAGAATATATAGAGAATATAGAATAGAATTACAGAATGGAATAGAAGAGAATAGAATAGAATTACAGAATGGAATGGAATGGAATGGAATAAGCAGAGTTGAAAGGAACCTTGGGGGTCTTCAACCCCTTTTATAGAAGGTTGGGGGTGGACAGCTGAATTTCAGGGGGGGGTTCGTAGGGCAGGGTCACCAGGAAAAGCGTGCTGCGTAGCTCCTACCAGATGACAATATTTAGAGGAAAGGACTGGCTGGGGAATTCTGGGAGTTGAAGTCCACCAGCCTTAAAGCGGCCAAGGTCGGACACCCCTGCCGCTTTAGAAGATGGTGTATATTTGCCATTGAATGTTGTTTAATGCCCTTTTTCTTTCCCCCAACCCTCCAGGAACCCCCCTGCGGCTCTCTCAGCTTTGTCGTCTCAGACTCCGTCACGCTCTCGGCCGAAAAGCCCTGGAAAAGATTCCCCCACCTCCACATCCCTACAAAATTTGTTGAATTCCTCTCCTACAGCCAGTGAGCTGCTCGCGGCCCCCGTCTAAGGACCCCCCCAATCATCACCCTGCAAAGTTCACCTTGTGCTCTTCCGAAGCCACCGTCTTTCGGAACAACGTGCGACTTTTTTCTCGAACGACTGTAAATAGAAATGTTAAAACCGTGGCTGGAAGCGGATTACCTGGTGGTCTCCTTGCCGGCTCGGCGGTTGCTTTGAGTGTGTTGGTGAAAGGCTTTCGCACCCACTGGTATGTGTGTGGTTGATCACCTCTACTTTGGAGAGATGGAGTGATAACTTACTGAAGCCTGATGGGCTCGCCCTGTTTTGCGTCTTGGTCTAGATGTACTCCTCAGCCTTGTTAAGTGGATTTTGCCCCATTTTACGCCCACCCTTGCCACAGTTGTTAAATGAATCGCTGCGGTGGTTAAGTTAGTGGCACCGTTGTTCAGGGGATCTAGCTTCCCCAATGATTTTCCTGGTCAGAAGGTCGCAAACGGTGATCACGTGACCCCGGCCGGGGATACTGCGACCGTCATAAAGATGAATTGGTTGACAAGCAACCGAATTTTGATCCCGTGACACTGGAGAGGCTACAACGGTCGCAAGTGTGAAAAACGGCGAAATGTATATATGGGTAATATTTATTTGTAAAATGGTCTCATAGATTTTGCAAATGAATCCATCAATTTTGCCAATAAATAAATTTCACAAATATTTATTTATTTATTTATTTATATTTAAATTTATATGCCGCCCTTCTCCCCATGGGACTCAGGGCGGCTCACAGCATATTAAAACATTGTACAAAAAAAAATTTTCCCCTGCTAAAAACCAATTAAAATCCAAATATTGGTAGCTGTGGCTCTTTAAAATTGTTTAAAAATTGTCCCTATTTAAAACTCACCTTAGGT